TATTATTCCGAGAAGGTGTGTGAGAACGCTGTCGTGAGAAGGATCGTCGTCGTGACGGTGACCTTCTTTGTGAACTCTGTCTCCGGACCTGTCGACCAGACCTATTAGTTTCTAACTTGTCAATCCTTGCCTCTAAGTCTGCAATGGCAGCGAGTATCGGTGTGTCTACCGTGGGTGTGGCACTATCAGATGATATGTGACTTATGGTGTTATCAGATAAAACATCCGTAATACTATCTGCCATGTCACTTAGTTGGTCTAAGTCATAAGACTTTCCTGAGATGATTAAAATTTGCTGGACATTTCTTGGTAAACGTTGCAGCCACATCTGTTTCAGCACTACCTCGTCTACTTTATGGTGTCCGATTAACTGACGCATGTGCCTGAGCAGCTGGGATGGTTTACGTGGGCCTAGTTCACAACCTGTGAGTAGGTGTTGGATTCTTTTCTCATCGGACAAACTGGTGCGTTGTATGAGGAGGGCTTTAAGTTTATCAAATTGGTGTTCCGTCGGGGGATTTTCGATGAAATCACTGATTTCTGTCAATACTGACGTAGGGAGTTCTGCCAGCACTGCCCCATATTTGGCTATCTGGGACTTAATGCCCCGTGCGTCTAGTAACGGCTCAATTACCGCAAACCAAATCCTTGGTTCTGCGAAACCGTATGGAGGTAAACGGATATCCGTGATGGCATTTATTGTGGCATTTGTCTCGCTGTTAGCTGTCTGCCCGTTTCATGTACCAGACTGAGGTGACGACATGATAAATATGGGGGTATTATTGCAAAATAGGATACAAATATAAACCACACACAAAATCACAATAAATATATAAAACAGCAAAAATGAGAATATGAATATGCCAAAATAAACCGTGTTCTTATCGGGCTCACCAATTAATTTGTAGGGGACTTATGTTAGAGTTCACTAGTATTACAAAATATGAGAAATAAAATTCAAGTCAATGGAATGTTAAGTAACAGTATATTACCAAAAATGCAACGACACGTTATATCAACAAAAGGGTTACTTGGAAATAAAGTTTAAGTCCTCTGCTACAAATTATTTATATAACCCACGGAGACGTTAATTGTTTGGACGGAGTAGGTTGTAGCTGCTGTGTCCCGGTTGTAGAATTGTCTTCGGTTGAGCGTAGTGGACTTCTACAATAAATCCGAAAGATACAACACTGTGAGAGCTGAGCTAGTAAGCCGAAGAAACCAAGGAGAAGACGAAGTCTCCAACAGCAGAGTGTATTTTCCAATCGTACACGGAAGCCAAGTGTATTTCAACAAGAAGCGTTTTAAACAAAAGTTATGTACAATATGTCTAATTTCTATAAATAACCAAAAAGTGTACAATCACATTGTTACGCACTCCACAAGTAGTGTAACACAGAAGACAAGGGCCTGGCAACAGATCGTTTATTTAGGAAATCTGCAGATATTTATATTTTCATGTACATTATTAAAGATTATTGTAAGCAAACAAACACAGTTTTCTGATTGGTGGTTTCTCACTGAACGTTAATCTTTCATCTCTTTGTGGCCGTTTATTGAATTTCAGATTATCTATCTGAAAATCGTATCCGCCTACGCAAAGTCAGCTATGGTTGGTTGTTGAGTCAGTCTTTGTTCTTATTTTTCTCATGACTAATATTGGGGACGTACACATTGACGTAAATTACTATCTACCGATTTTGGCTAGCAGCCAGCTCTCACCACAGAAGTGAAGTCTTATGATTCAGTGGTGCATAACCTAGTACTTAATTCGTAGAGTCTTAGCTTAAACAAATAACGCGAAAACTGACAAATTCAAACTAGCATTCATTCTTCATGAAGTGATAGTATGTAAATAGGTTCTGCCGCTGTCCAAGACATTTGAACATCAGGAAACTGAAGGTCAAAATTATTAAGTCCCGAATTCAAATAAAACAGACGGCTTCATGTTTGAAGTTCTTCACTGATTCCACCATGTGACGAAGTGTATTCTGGATCAGAGCATATTAGACCGTTACAAACAGCTTTGTAAAATAGGTAATGGGATTCAACACAACTTCCCCAGAAGATCTGATCAATATCCTTCATAACAGTTGCAAATAAATTTCTCTTCTGTACTAACCCTTTTACGAGAATCAGTTTGTTCCACACGACGTCATACACAAAAGGTGTTTTGATTGGGCACTAGTCAGCAACTAGTGTATTCTGTCTAGTCCTATCTTTGGTGCAGACTGAATTCTATCAGTCCACTTTGCAATGTGGCCACCATACTAGGTGGCTTGCCATCACGGTGCACTGTGAATTGTTGGTATTCGATAGTTGGAGGCAATCGGCAGGAAACCTTGGACCTGGGTTTTGATTGCCTCCAACCATCTAACATAAAAAGTTTGTTGAGCTTCGCTTCATAAAAAGAGCGACAAAACCGTGTCTTTTGAGTTGCTTAACTAATGAGTCAGGCTAATATGATGTGTCAAAATATTCATAGGTATGTCAAATATTTTGTGCGAATTCTCGCTGATTTTAAGTTTAATGTATTTCAGTAGTCCAGAAAAGTGCTAGGTCGTGTTAGCTGTACATAATCATGGCAGTTCAATGATCTAGTGATTGGTGCAAGCGTATACAAGCACAAGGCTACATGGGTGTCACCAGAAGGGTGAACCAAATTGACTTCGTCTCGACCTCAAGGAAATGGAGACGCAGCTTACTGGACACAAATGTAAGAAGAGGAACAGATTTAGGCTTAGACCACTATCTCGTGCAAGGAACACTCCAAATCAAATTAAAAACTTTCAAGAAAACAGGAGTTGCAGAAAGACCACAAGCCAAGTTCAATACTTAAAAAGTAAAGGGTCAGGCCACGAAGGACATCTTCACTGCAATCATAAGGAAAAAGGCGGAAACACAAGTGAACACTATTGAGGAGATCAGCATTAAAAAACACTGAAACAGCCTGAGAGCGGTGTAGAGTCAAACCTGCATGGAAGTTCTAGGCAGAAAGAAGAGACATGACAAACAGTGGCTCACTACAGACACATGGAGACTAATAGAAGAGAGAAGCATGGTGGAACAAACGATTACCCGGTGCATCGACGAGCAACAAAAATAGGAGTTGAATGCAAGCTACAATATACTGAAGAAAAGAGTAGAGAAAAGTGCCAGGAAAGACAATATTATGAAGCTATAGCAAGTGATGCAGAACAAGCTGCAGGCAAAGGAGACCTCGCAACACCCTATCAAACAACTAGGTTCCTATCGGGGAAGAGATCAACACAAATTAAGTCAGTGAAGGATGGCAATGAGAAGTCAATCACCAAGAGGTGGAGCAAAGGAAACACTGGGCTGAACACTTCAAAAGACTCCTAAATCGACCACCAACTACAACACACCCAATAATACCAGTAACGGAAGCGGAACTACTAGTGGATACCAACCCTCCGACGAGAACAGAAATCCTGAAGGCAATCAAGATGCTAAAAGCTAGAAAAGCATCAGGACCAGATGGAATCCCAGCAGAAGCGTTGAAAATGAACCCAGAGACGACAGCGGACTTGATGACGCCACTACTGGAGAAGGTGTGGAAAGAAGGCAAAGTACCTGAAGATTGGAAGAATGGATACTTATTCAAAATACCAAAGAAAGGAGACTTAAGTCAATGCAAGAACTGGCGCGGAATTATGCTCCTGTCCATCGCAAGCGAAATACTAAGTCACATCATCCTGGAGAGAATCAAACATGCCCTGGATGAAAAACTCCGACCGGAACAGGCTGGATTCCGGAGAAACATTCATGCATTGACCAGATCGCCACATTACGGATCATCATTGAACAAAGCCTGGAATGGCAGTCACCTCTCTATCTCAACTTCATCGACTTCGAAAAGGACTTTGACAGCGTCGATCGAGAGGTGATTTGGAAACTACTTCGCTACTACGGGGTGCCACCGACAATTATACATCTCATCCAACAGCTGTACGACAATGCTGCATGCCAAGTAATCCACAACGGGAAACTTACGGAATCCTTGGAAGTGAGGACAGGAGTAAGACAAGGCTGCCTACTATCGCCAATGATTTTCCTGATTGCAGTAGACTGGATAATGCGACAGACAGTGGGCAATGAGGAAACAGGAATAAAATGGACTCACACAAAATACTTGGAGGATCTGAACTTCGCCGACGATATATGTCTGATTCCCCACAAACTGGAAGATATGCAAGTGAAAAGCCCCAAGTTGGCAGAAGAAGCAACAAAGATAGGACTTCAGGTGAACATAGAGAAGACAGAGGTGATGAAGATTCCTGGCCAGCAGCAACAATCAACATAAAAAATAAGATGCGGATTCTCAACTCCAACGTGAAGTCAGCTCAGAGAGACTTGGCGCGTCATAAAGAGCACTTAGAACAGAATATAGGCCTTCATCAACAGCTGTCTTCGCTCAATACGCAAGATCAGATGACCGGCCAGGAAAGATCAGCAACAGGGATCCCTGGGAGCGAACCAACCAGGAAACGATTGTACAGCAAATATGCAGGAAGAAATGGAAGTGGATTGGCCATACTCTTAGAAAACCATCAAGTGACATCACTAGACAAGCCCTCGAGTGGAACCCGAACGGGAAGCGGCGAGTTGGTCGTACAAGGGTGACATGGAGGGGGTCACGTGAAGAGGAGATGAAAGCATGTGGGCAGACGTGGAGTCAGGTGATAGCGCTGGCAGAGAACCGAAAGCAATGAAGACGTGCGTCTGAAGCCCTATGTTCCTCTAGGAACTAAAGGAAACAATAATATAATAATAAGAATCATGATAGTTTACTTAAGAAGTATTATTTACTGATATCTTAGACTTTATCCTCCGTGTTGTCTTCATTGTAGTGCAGATAATAAGCGACATTTAAAAACGTCGTGCAGTTGATTGTTTCGTATGGTTGTATTTAATTATATTACGCGAATAAATTTATATAACTTATTTAACCATAGCATACTCTTTAATTTATCTTTCAGCACTCAGATGAACAAATAAAAAAATTCCAACTGTTGAAAGCTGATTTAAATAACCATTCAGTATGTTTTGAATGGACATTTTCAAATTTACTACATGACAGAGAAATACGGTTAGTTCACTTATCTTGTAAAATTATAACTGAAGATCTTGGAATTTTTATTCTCAGTAGTGGGAGATGCTGCGATTTTTGAATAGATGTATAGTTGATGGTTAACACTTAAGTTTATTCAGTATAAAAATTGTAAACGCTAATTTCACTTTCTATATGTGAAATATGCAGTGGTCTCACTTGCACACGAATTTTATTTTCATTTTTCGAATAAGCATATTTATTTCATGTATTATATTGTTCTATTCTTATTCACAGATTCGACAATGGCTGGATTGTTAAAATCGGTCGTGGATTAGATTATATTCGTCGTCCAGTGCATAAGTTTTGTGGATTGGGCGTTCATGATTATGAATTCAGACAATGTTCTGCTACAACTGTAGATATTTTTCATTCTTCAACTATTCGCTGAAACACTAGTTAATTATTATTATTCGGAACTAACTTGAAATATGTCGATATTTCTAAGTCTTTCTTTTTTTTCAATAAAACTTGCAAGAAATCTATATAAGGTGCGTAGTTTCGAAGGTACGCTTGACGTTTTTCCAAGTAGATCAGATTGTGCAGTCACATCACTTATTTCTACACTTCTGTACCTCTATAGAGAACAAACATTGCAGCCGCCGTGGTGTCTTGTTCCAAATAACACAACCTTATCTCCTTGACTGCACGCTTACACATTGTTTATCAGGCTTATAAAGGAAAAAAATCTCCTTCGGCTTCGAAACAGATGCTTACATGCTAAGTCATTGAGTTACGCTGGCACAGATTTCTTATAGCGAACACTTGGAATAACCTTTGCTTCGAAATTTTACTCGTTTCTTTCTAACTCCAAATCGGTTTCAGTTGACAAATTACTGAGAGGGTTAGGACAGTTTTTTCTCTCTATTTGATACTGTGCAACTGCACAACAGTAATTACATGTGACTGTCCATTTAAATCGAATCACATGTGTTGCTACGTTCGTAGAACAAGTCATATTCAACTTCTGTATCTAAAACTAAAAACTGACGTCTCTACCCTGAGTTAATGAGCAATTTGGTATCCAGTGGCGTGACTACTTGGGTGCATGTGACAAGATTTATGTGATATATCTAACAGCACTCTTCACCAACTTTTAACGGGAATATTTATATCCATAACATATATATACATATATATTCAATGAATTTGGTGGTGCGTAGGTGGCACAGCAGTAGAATGCTCGCCGACCACGCACGTGGTTCCGGGTTCGATCGCCGACCGACACACTCCTTTACATCACTGAGGCAGTAATAAGGGTGGTAAAGAGGTAAGGTTGGGCATAAGGCTAGCAACCCCACCCCGTAAAAATAAACACCACTGCTACCAAAACTTCAAGCCTCTAGCTTGAAGCCCTATGTTCCACTGGGAATGTAAAGGAATAAAAAAAGTGAATTGGATGGAATTTAAGTCATAACTGGTTTAAAAAATGTGCATCGCGGATTTTACTGCTCGCCATCATCTAGCAAATGACACCACATTAATCATCAGTTATTGCTGAATTGCCCGTATTAGGAGCCGTGATGTCAAGAGTGACGGAGCATTTCGGTCCGATATAAACTAGTCAGTGAGAAACGCACACTAATTTCACTTATTATTTATTTTCCTAATGCTTTTTGTCTAGTTAACTTTTAAATATTACGGTTTTCAAAAAGCTGATGAGAAGCCAAAAAATAAAACGAATTTTTACTGTGCTTAAATTGTTCGAGTTTAATACATTGAAGGTAACTGCTTTGAATAATGCAACATAAATCATCAATGTGCCTATAGTAAGATGAACTAATTTCACCCTGTTCAGAAAGTGGTTTCTTTTTTCCAAAAGGCTAGTTTCTGTCTGCCTAAATTAGCACAGTTACACTCAATTTTCAACAACTTAAGCCAATATAATGATTTTACATTAATTCACTTTTGTGTCTCTTCATAACCTAATCATTTCACGAAAAGAAAGATTTACTAGGAGAAAAACATGTAAATCATATAATTACATTAAAAGGCTGTTTTTTATTACAGAAATCATTTAAGGAACACATGACATAAAACAGGAAACAGTTACATTCTGGTAACATGACACATTTATTCGGTCCATTCAGCACCCGAATAATAACCAGTTATCTAAAAGGAAGTACAGTGCTTTGTAGTTTCATCTTTCTAAAATGCAGAAAAAACGCAAATGCTTTATTATATCGGCAATTCCATTTCAACACATTATTTTTAAATAACAAAAAAGAGTAACGAATCAACGTAGAATTCTTCACATAAGTGCAACAGTTCAGGTTACCATAATAAAAAGGTATACTAAATAACAAAATATTAATCTAACGATACTTTAATAAAAAAAACAAGTATGTGGGGTAGAATAACTAAATGAACATCAGTCGAAATATTCAAAGATGTTAAGGGGTGAATGCATACGTGCCAATTTTAGTAGTTTTGAGACATGCCTAAGGTTTCAATAGGTAATTATTAGCAATTCTATGGTCACAGAGAGGCGGTCTACATCTTTCTGACCCAAAGTCAATGACTGCATGGATTCATGATATTTTTTGTATGGTCCCTCATATCTCCCTTCCAACCTAATCCTGCTTCTACTACTATGGGACATTGGAGATTGAGAATTTTCGGAACCACTGACTTTCGCTAATTTCTGTTGCTCACGATAGATGTTTCTAAGTAGATTTTTAGAAGGAAACAGTATTTTTGAGTTTTTAGCCTTACTTTGAATTTACTGTATTAATCACTGGTTAAAAATACACTTCAATAAATTAGATAGTCGCTTTTAAGTTGTTTAAAGTTCTCTTTTACCGAAAAAAACTTATGCTACACATAGTTTGAATTAGTTATTAAATTACAAACGGAAAAAGTCAGTAATTATTGTTGAGTATGCAACAGATTGAATTTAAAAAAAGTTTCGGGAAAGTTTACTTAACATGTAAGGGGAGAATTTAAAAAATTACTCTTACCGTGTAGAATATGTTGGGGGTTTTGTTTGCACCGAACCGGTCTGTGAACGCCATTGCTTTTCTAAACGTAAATAAATCCCACCGGGATACTGAAAATAAAAATTTGTCATAATGACTGAGACTTTCATAAGTCTTATTCATTTTTATAGTCGTAGTATTATTTTTATAATAGACTCTTTTGATATGCTGAATTGAGAATTTCCATACTGAGGAGAGTCAGAGATTGTTTCGAAAAGTTGACTCTCATTTTAGTAGTCAGGTTACGTCGTTCGAAAGAAAACATAAAATGTGGAATATCTGATACTTCAAGCGACGAATTATTTCATAATTCGATTATATATATTTCCTAACTTGCAGAGATTTTGCGATGGAGATTTTATATAATTAGTATGACAGAAACCTTAGGTAACATGACTCATCGATAGCGCTGGGCCATATATCATACCATATCTTCATCTCAATCGTATTATTGCATTTCACTACATTACTAATTCTCTAGAATTTCATTAATTTTCGACATGAGGTCGCCAGGAATCTGGTGGGGACACCTATTAGACTGAAATCAGTTACCAGTAGAGTGTAAGGTATTTTTACATTATGCTGGAGGTCTGTGAGCGAAGTCGTATTGCTGGGGGACAGGCATGTGACGGTAGTAAGGTGTTTCCCTCAGACGACCAGCCACGTTGTCTTTCTAGACAGAAGGGGTTAGAAAAGGTCGACCCCAAAAATTGTACATCCCAACTTACCCTGCGGTGCTCCATAACCGGCGGTAAATTTACTAATAAGGAACCCATCACAGAAACCAGTTCATACAGGCCGTGTGTGACCGATTTCAAGCAGTCTCCCTTGGGTTCTACGGTCACACAACACTAATTCTATTCCAGTTACTCCGAGAATTTATCAACTTCCACGGTGTGGGCAGCCGGGAAGTAACAACTGCCCACACGAAGGACGGCGTTACCCGTCGTTGTCTTTTCGTAGTCTCCACTTCCGCCCCAACAGACTGCAGTTCGGACGAACTTCCGACTGAAACTGTTTGATTTGCTGCAAAAAGCAAAACGCTCAGGTATAGTTGTTTTAGCAGGCGACTTCAATGCCCAAGTAGGAAAGTTGTGGCAGACTGAGAAGTATATAGGTGGTACGTACGGAGTCCCCTCCCGATAAACCGACAACGGTGATTGTCTTCTAAAGTTCTTTTCAGATAATCATCTGTTCCTAGTCAGCACTAACTTTAGGCACAAAGAGAGACACTGTGTAACCTGGTGACCTCCATCACCAAGTCAATGTTGGACACAGATAGAACACATAGCGATAGGGTGTCGTTGGCGAGGGTCAGTAGAAGACTGCCGATCTTTCTGGAACCTGTGCGTAGACTCTAATCACGCCCTGGTTCGCGCACGTTTATGCTTACGTCTTAACGGCCATAAGAATTGTTAGAAGCGTAGCAGTTACGTCCCCAACCGGATTGAAACTCTGAGTCCCTATATGAGGGAGAAATTGCGAAACGAGTACGTGAGGTCGACAGCAGGACTCCTCCTGAGGTAGCCTGACACAACATACAGATAGCTGTAGACACAGCTGTTGATGACCTGAAACCTAAAGTTAGTAAGAGAACTCAAGGGAAAACTGCTTAAAATCGGTCACACACGGCCTGTATGAACTGGTTTCTGAGATGGGTTCCTTATTAGTAAATTTACCGCAGGGTAAGTTGGGATGTACAATTTTTGGGGTCGACCTTTTCTAACCCCTTCTGTCTAGAAAGACAACGTGGCTGGTCGTCTGAGGGAAACACCTTACTACCGTCACATGCCTGTCCCCCAACAGTACGACTTCGCTCACAGACCTCCAGCATAATGTAAAAATACCTTACACTCTACTGGTAACTGATTTCAGTCTAATCGCTATCCTAACAACCTTCCTGGCATGGTAGGACCTGGAGGAACAATAGTTCTAGGCAGTGTAGTTTGTTGCGTCATTGCGATGTGCAAGCCTGACCATCACATCAAGATAGTAGCTGTCGTGGATGTCATCTGCATATTGATGTGAGCAAACAGGTAGCACGAGCTACGTCTTTGTAGTACCAGGTTGAGTTATAATCAACACTAGCTAGCAACCTCGGCTTCCTCCACAAGGCGCCATTTAAATGGCGAGTGAATCTGCCTCAGACTTGAAAGAATGTTCCGCCAAATACCACTGGGTTTCTGTGAATTTCTTGCAACTTCTGGATGAGCACCGGTCCATTCCCGTAGAAAGCAAGTATAACAAAATGCGCAGGGCACTTATGCGGAAGATGAAACAGTGTTTAGGTAAGGATCGCAAGACCTGTTGATGAGAACGTGCGTGTGAGATGGAATCAGCAGCTGCCCCTGGCAACAGCCTGAAGCCGTTCCAGCTCATCTGAGCCATTGGTATCAGGAAGCATGATGTCAAC